TTAATAATGAAATGGAAAGAATGTATAAGACTGTAAAGTGAAACTATTGTATATATATTGTGTTAAATATTATTTATATGCGAAGTAAGGTTTATAGGAATAGTTAGGCTATAATATAGTTTTAGTGTGTATAAGTAGGTGTATATTTTTTTTATTGCTGTAAATAATTTTTATATCGTAGGTCAAAATTTGATATATTTCTATATTTATAGTATTTATATTTGTATTAAACTATTTATCAATTTGAAAATAACCTTAATTAAGTTAATATTTGTTGTTTAAGTTTCATTAGATAGGTTTTTATATATGGTTTTTTGTAAGTTTGAGTTTTGTTCATAAATGATGTGGCATTTTTATCTATGGCGTCATCGACTGTGGGAATCCATTCGCCGGAGTCTGGAGTCGGTGGTGAGGAATGTTTTCAATGAAATTATAGTAGTTATTAAAATGTAAGAGAATTTACATATTCATTTAATAAATAACGAAAAGTACTTAAATTTTGTTGTTTATTTTATTTTATTTCACATACAAATTTTTTTATATATTAAGAATGTGTNGTGAGGAATGTTTTCAATGAAATTATAGTAGTTATTAAAATGTAAGAGAATTTACATATTCATTTAATAAATAACGAAAAGTACTTAAATTTTGTTGTTTATTTTATTTTATTTCACATACAAATTTTTTTATATATTAAGAATGTGTTAATGTTTTTATATGCAAAGTAAGGTTTATAGGAATATAGACTATAATATAGTTTTTAGTACGTAAAAGTATGTGTTTTTTTTTGCTGTAAATAGTTTTTATATCGTAGGTCAAAACTTGATATAATTCTATATTTATAGTATTTATATTTTTATTAAATGATTTATCAATTTTAAAATAACCTTAATTAAGTTAATATTCGTTGTTTAAGTTTCATTAGATATATTTTATATATGGTTTTTTGTAAGTTTGAGTTTTTTCATAAATGATGTAGCATTTTTATATACGGTGTATCGACTGTGCGAATCCATTCGTCGGAGTCTGGAATCGGTGGTGAGAAATGTTTTAATGAAATTATAGTAGTTATTAAAATATAAGAGAAATTACATATACATGTAATAAATAAGGAAAAATCATTAAGTTTTGTTTTTTTTTTATTATATCTCACATACAATTTTTTTGAAAATATATATTAGGAAATATGTGCAATGATTCAACTTTTTGAGCTCTTAATCTATATTATTTAAGCCTCATTAAGCCATCCACGTATGCAGCCGCATGAGACTCTTTTTTTGTTTTTGTTTTTTGGTCCGTTCGTTTTTGGATCCATTTTTTATTATTTTTAGGTTGGGCTATATTATAATATGACAGTTTTAAGGCTCTTTAAGCCATCCGCGTGGGACTTACTTTTTTTTGTTTTTTATATTGTTCGTTTTTGGATCCATTTTTAACTATTTTTGCGTTTGAACTTGTTAAACTTTAGAGTTTATCCAACTATTTTGATCTTTATTTGAGTTATTCTTGGGTTCACCTTAAGGTGAACCTCTAAATTCACCATCCAATAGGATTGCATCATTTCATATTTGTAAAAAAGGAAACAAAATCTTGTTAGGTTATATTATGCTTTTTAAAAGTAAAATACAAAAATAAATAATAATAATAATAATTAATAAAAACGAAAATAATTCTTAAAAAAAAATATTTTAACACTAAACCCTAAACTCTAATCATAAACCCTAAACCCCTTGGTAAAACATAAATCTTTGGTAAAATTTATAAAAAAATCTTTTAAAAAAAATTATTTTCACTAAAACACTAAACCCTAAACTCTAATCATAAACCCTAAACCCTTGGGTAAATCATAAACACTAAACCCTAAACTCTAATCCTAAACCCTTGGGTGAATCATAAACACTAAACCCTAAACTTTAATCCTAAACCCTAAACCCTTGGATAAATCATAAACACTAATTTTTTATAGATTTATCCAAAGGTTTGTGATTTACCTAAGATTAGACTTTAGAGTTTAATGTTAAAATATTGTTTTTAATAATTATTTTCGTTTTTCTTAATTATTATTTTTTATTATTTTTATATTTAAAACACACAATATAACTTAATAAGATTTTGTTTCCTTTTGAAAAATATATCAAATATAAAATGACGCAATTCTATTGGATGGTGAACCTCTAGGTTTGATAATATTCCATATGATAATATTCCAAATCAAAAAATCCCAAATAAACAAAAAATCAAAAATAGATGATAACAACGTGGTTTGAACCCACGATCTTGCAGGCTTAGTTAGACACCTTATACCACTCGGCTAAAGTGTATTTCATTGTTCCTAATCATCTTACCAAGACTATGACTTTTTAAAAAATACCTATGGGACCCACAAAACTGCTGACGTGGCGCGCTGTGGAGTCTAGAAAGTGTACTATTATAATATAGATTATTATTATTATTATTATTATTATTATTATTATTATTATTATTATTATTATTATTATTATTATTATTTGAGGACATCCTCCCTTTTGCGGTGGTCGTGGCCCAGTCCGTAATGAAGGTCAGCAGTGAGGTTGCGTCGCAGATGTTATGAGAGACAGAGACTGAGACCGCCACTCCAGATCCCGATCCGAAGAAAGTAACCTTGACCCTCAACAAAGGCCACTCCGTGGGAGAATCTCCAGGGGCCATTGTCGGGTAAAATCTCTCCAGGGAGCTAGCGTTGACGTCTTTCAGCAAGTCACGAAGAAGGAGATCGGTGCGTGCCTCAGTGAAGACGGCTCCTTCGTCGTTGCAGCTGATGGTGATGCCTTATTCTCTTCGTCCAGCGAGTGGATAGAAGCGCGACAGAGTCTGGGACAGTGAGCTCTTCAGTTTCGCGGAGATGATCTCTGGTGCGACATCTGCATCATCAGTTTCGTAGAAGAAGATCACGGGCACGTTAGCTGGGCTATTCATGAGATCCAGCAAAGAGAGTTGAAGACGATCATTAGTTGAAGGTGTAGCAGGTTTGATCACTTCTCTCTCTACTTCTTCCATTTTCGTTTCCCTCTAGCTCTTCAAAAGTCAACAGGTATATGCTTATGCTTAAGGGAGAGTATCGTTGATAGAATTGAAGCAACGCATCTTATGACTCGCATATATAGAGGTATTCATTCTAGTCAACCCCACAAAGTTAATAAGTTTATGAGCAGGCAACCATCTACAGTGGTTACAATTTTTCAAAACACTCCTTTTACATTTTTAACATTCCACGTTATATTTTATTTCTTTCACCTAATAATATAACATTTATCTGATTTTGCCACTTATAATAGTTTTGTTTAACTAAATTTAACATCATACCATCCTTTTATTTTATCTCATATTGTAATTGGTTTACGTTTGTAGTTTATGAACAAACAATAACCTTTTAGGTAGTTAAAATAACATTATAATATTTTCTATGTCAAAACAATATTACTAAGATTTATTAAAAAAAATAATTAAAACACACAGAATAGTTGATTAGAGGCTAATCAAAATATAATGAAAATTGACGAATTTTTATATCCAAATGAAATGTGACGAGTCTTTATTTATAAATCATAAAATGTTGAATTTTGGTATATTGTTGCTTCAAATAAAATACTTTGCCATGAAATAATTAAATTTGAATAATTTGAAAGAAGAAAAAAAATACAAGTTTTAGAAACCAATAAAACAAAGAATGTGGATCATATCCAACATTTATTCCTTTCATAGTTTTTTCATGTGGCAGAATTGGAACAATTTCATCTTTTTTTTTTTTAAAAGATTTAATTTCTTTTTTTGATAAATTCATTTCATTTCTTTCAATCCGTTGAAAACATTCAACTCAGGGTTAGGATTTAAGGTTTAAGATTTAGGGTTTGGAACCTTAGGGTTAGGGTTTAGCCCTAGGGTTATTAGTGTTTTAGGGCTTGGAACCCTAGGGTTTAGGGTTTAGGGTTTGGAATGGGTTTGGAACTCTAGGTTTTAGGGTTTATGAACCTTAGGGTTTAGGTTTAGGGTTTTAGGGTTTGGAACCCTAGGGTTAGGGTTTTAGGTTTGGAACCCTAGGGTTAGGGTTTAGGGTTTGGAACCCTAGGGTTTAGGGTTTCAGGGTTTAGGGTTAGGGTTTTAGGGTTTGGAACCCTAGGGTTAGGGTTTTAGGGTTTGGAACCCTAGGGTTAGGGTTTAGGGTTTGGAACCCTAGGGTTAGGGTTTGGAACCCTAGGGTTAGGGTTTTAGGGTTTGGAACCCTAGGGTTAGGGTTTTAGGGTTTGGAACCCTAGGGTTAGGGTTTGGAACCCTAGGGTTAGGGTTTGGAACCCTAGGGTGGTTTTAGGGTTTGGAACCCTAGGGTTTAGGGTTTGGAAACCCTAGGGTGGTTTTAGGGTTTGGAACCCTAGGGTTAGGGTTTTAGGGTTTTTGGGTTTGGAACCCTAGGGTTTAGGGTTTGAAATCCTAGGGTTAGGAACCCTATGTTTTAGGGTTTGGAACCATAGGGGTTTTAGGGGAACTACCTAGGGTTAGGGTTTGGACCCTAGGGTTAGGGTTTTAGGGTTTGTAACCCTAGGTTATTAGGGTTTAGGGTTTGGAACCCTAAGGTTAGGGTTTTAGGGTTTGGAACCCTACCCTAGGGTTAGGGTTATAGGGTTTGTAAACCCTAGGGTTAGGGGGTTTGGAACCCTAGGGTTTTAGGGTTTGGAACACTAGGGTTAAGATTTAGGGTTTGGAAACCTTGGGTTTAGTTTAGGGTTTAGGGTTCGGAATCCTATGGTTTAGTTTAGGGTTTTAGTGTTTCGAACCCTAGGATAACGGTTTATGGTCGAAAAAAGGATACAAAAAGTGATGGTAACAAAAATAGCAAGCATTAACATATAGCGAACAAACAAAAACAAGATAAACATGTCATAGTAAACCTAACATGAAATGTAAAGAGAGAAAATGGAATTTATTAAACCAAGCGTGGCATAAAATGGGATGGAGAGTCAAGGCAATTAATTTTTTACACATGGTAAGATGTGATTGGTTAGATCAGGACCGGGGCGGTTTAGAACGGCATAAGCAAGAAGGTCCTGGTCACGGAGGAAGATGGGGATATCTTGCTCGGGTAAGCTTATCCATGCTTCTACACTTGCACCATCTTTTGAGTCAATGAGGCATACATATGCAATGTTGTTAGATGTCGAGGTAGATCCAACCCATGCAGGAGTACCCCAGCCAAAGTCAACCTCGTAGAAAGGTTTTCTACACCAGCTAGTCATTGAGTACAAGTCTGTCTCTGGCGTGAGACTTGACGCGAAATCTCCAATGACACGCATTAAAGACTGACCAAGTGTGTTGCCTTGGAGATTCTCTTTAATCATCTCGTTGACTGATTCCTTGGTTTTACGAAATTCGGCAACCGTTTCACAGATTTCCAAGTCGAAACTACTGCTGCTTTCCACGCCTCTCTTAAGAAGGAACATTGTCTGTAGGTTTCCGATGGAGAAAACATCCGTAGAAGAGACCCTAGAGCGCAAATCCATTGGTTGAAGCATTAACGTTGACCTTGGAGACACCAAGTTAGAGCGCCAGGCATTTCTGGCGCATGTCCAAACAAGTGACATGATAACTTCCACACGTGTAGGTGCGGGGACACCTCCTCCTTCGACCTTTCGTTTCAGCTCTTCGGTCTTATAAGATTCGAAAACAAACCTATTCATTACAGACTTCCCCAGTGGACCGACAGTAGGTAGGGACCATAAAAAGGAGATATCAGGAGGAGGGTAAATGGTCGTCTCAGCAAAATGAATCGTATTATTATTACTAGTTGCATACTCCCCACGCAAGCGCGGGCTGGGATCATTGTGTTTGCGTGTATTTTTTTTCGATTGTTGCTTTAGTGGATTCTTCTAATGACATCAAATAATAATGAAATGGAAAGAATGTATAAGACTGTAAAGTGAAACTATTGTATATATATTGTGTTAAATGTTATTTATATGTGAAGTAAGGTTTATAGGAATAGTTAGGCTATAATATAGTTTTAGTGTGTATAAGTAGGTGTATATTTTTTTTATTGCTGTAAATAGTTTTTATATCGTAGGTCAAAATTTGATATAATTCTATATTTATTGTATTTATATTTGTATTAAACTATTTATCAATTTGAAAATAACCTTAATTAAATTAATATTTGTTGTTTAAGTTTCATTAGATAGGTTTTTATATATGGTTTTTTGTAAGTTTGAGTTTTGTTCATAAATGATGTGGCATTTTTATCTATGGCGTCATCGACTGTGGGAATCCATTCGCCGGAGTCTGGAGTCGGTGGTGAGGAATGTTTTCAATGAAATTATAGTAGTTATTAAAATGTAAGAGAATTTACATATTCATTTAATAAATAATGAAAAGTACTTAAATTTTGTTGTTTATTTTATTTTATTTCACATACAATTTTTTTTATATATTAAGAATGTGTTAATGTTTTTATATGCAAAGTAAGGTTTATAGGAATATAGACTATAATATAGTTTTTAGTGTGTAAAAGTAGGTGTTTTTTTTGCTGTAAATAGTTATTATATCGTAGGTCAAAACTTGATATAATTCTATATTTATAGTATTTATATTTTTATTAAATGATTTATCAATTTGAAAATAACCTTAATTAAGTTAATATTCGTTGTTTAAGTTTCATTATATATATTTTATATATGGTTTTTTGTAAGTTTGAGTTTTTTTCATAAATGATGTAGCATTTTTATATACGGCGTATCGACTGTGCGAATCCATTCGTCGGAGTCTGGAATCGGTGGTGAGAAATGTTTTAATGAAATTATAGTAGTTATTAAAATATAAGAGAAATTACATATACATGTAATAAATAAGGAAAAATCATTGAGTTTTGTTGTTTTTTTATTATATCTCACATACAATTTTTTTGAAAATATATATTAGGAAATATGTGCAATGATTTAACTTTTTGAGCTCTTAATCTATATTATTCAAGCCTCATTAAGCCATCCACGTATGCAGCCGCATGAGACTCTTCTTTTGTTTTTGTTTTTTGGCCCGTTCGTTTTTGGATCCATTTTTTATTATTTTTGGGTTGGGCTATATTATAATATGACAGTTTTAACGCTCTTTAAGCCATCCGCGTAGACAACCGCGTGGGACTTACTTTTTGTTTTGTTTTTTATATTGTTCGTTTTTGGATCCATTTTTAACTTTTTTTGGGTTTGAACTTGTTAAACTTTAGAGTTTATCCAACTATTTTAATCTTTAAAATAATAAGCAAAAAAAAACATAAAAACCCTATAAACAAAAAACCTATATGATAATATTCCAAATCAAAAAAAATCAAAAATATATGATAACCACGTGGTTTGAACCCACGATCTTGCAAGCTTAGTTAGACACCTTATACCACTCGGCTAAAGTGTATTTCATTTTTCCTAATCATCTTACCAAGACTATGGCTTTTTAAAAAATACCTATTAGACCTACAAAACTGCTGACGTGGCGCGCTGTGGAGCCTAGAAAGTGTACTATCACTATAATATTATTTGAGAAGTCACTTTCTTAGGTGTCGCGCTCACGTTAACTCTCATGATGGTTAATTACTATGATACCCCTAATTTAAAATATAATTAAATATTATTTCCTTTTTAAAATTTCCAAATAACAATATATAATAATATGGAAACATTTATAAAATTTACAAAACTATTTAAAAACGAAAATATAAGTATATATAATATGGTTTAATAAAAAAGGAAAATTCACAAAATAGTAATATTTAATTTAAATATATTTTAAATAGCATAAAATATACCTTTGAAGTAATAAAATTCTTTCTATGTATATCTTCTTAGATAAAAAACAATATATGTATATAATGTGAATTCATAAAAAAAAATTCACACAAAAATATTGCTATTAGAAAAAGAAATATTTTTTCCTTATATATATATTTTCAAAATAATTATTTTTGTATATATCTACTATTTTATTAGATGATTACATAAAATAATCAACTAACATAAACTGATATATGTTTAATTGACATTTTTTATAATTAGTATTATTGAAATTATTTTTTTAGTATATTGATTTGACTATAATATCTTACAATTACAGTAAAGATATAAATTATATTTTACTTATATAGTATAATTTCACAAAATAATCACTTTTTACTGACTATTTTAATAGATACTAAAAATAAATTTAATAATAAAAATATTTTAATCAAGTAACTACAATTATTTTAAAATATCACAACAATATATAATTTAACGAGGTAGATCTATTATATTTTAATAGTTAAAATTATCTGTTTTAAGAATAAGGATTCTGATTTACTTAACTATTTTGATTATGGTTATATTAAGTTTCACAAACATAAAAACAGAAAATAACTACAATTATTTTAAAATACCATAACATTATACAATTTAACGAGGTAGATACATTATATTTTAATAGTTGAAATTATCTGTTTTAAGAATAAGGATTCTGATTTACTTAAGTATTTTGATTATGGTTATATTAAGTTTCACAAACATAAAAACAGAAAATAACTACAATTATTTTAAAATACCATAACATTATACAATTTAACGAGATAGATATATGATATTTTAATAATTAAAATTATCTGTTTTCTTAATAAATATTTTGATTTTTAATTTTTTGTTTTTATGTTTGTGAAACTTAATATAACCATAGTCAAAATACTAAATCAGAATCCTTATTTTTAAAATTATCTAAAATAAATTTCAGTTTACCATCCAATCAATCTAAAGCATAAATTTGTTTAGAATTTATAAAATATTTTAATTATTGTAAATATTGATATGTGTTCAAAAGCTTCTAAAAATTCATTAGTTACTTATGTATGTAATTTAGAATCAGAAACTTTAGTTTTTTATTTATTTTCTTTCTAAGCACAAAAAAATCTTAAGTTATATATAGTCTTACTAAATATACTTATATTTTTAAGATAACAACCAGCATAAATGCAAATAAGACAATTAATCAAAAATTTAATATATTTAAAATATAAAAGATTATAGTTGAATTTAGAGAAATAGATAGAATCCAATATATCTAAATGATAACTAAATCGACCGTCAAAACAATAAAATAGACTAAATGTAACATATCTAAAATTATATATAGTTAAAGTAATATAATATTATAATATAAATTAGACATACAAACTATAAATTAATTTAAAAATTAAAATAAATATCAATCAATTATTATTGTATATTTATTTTATAAATATACACTGGAAAATTACCTAGTTATAATATAGATTACATGTTTGGCCAACTATAAATTAGGTAAAATTACTCGAAATTGGTTGGTCAACTAGCCGTGAATAAACGTCTCATTTAGTAGTTGCCCAATTCGGTTAAATAGCCAAACCAAACAAGGTTTGTTCTTTCAGTATCTTAACTCTCTAAATTCTTAAACCGGTACATAACCATTAACCCATATGAACTTCAAAAGCCTTTACCAAGTAACTTCAAGAGAGATAAGAAAACTACAAGTAACATATATCTATATACGTGATTAATTACATTTGTTTATACAAGTTTTTACTGTAAGTACCATTAAGATGACGTACAAGCTTATTTATTGTCCCTCAAGTCCTCAAGAGAACGCTTACGGGATCCCAAGTTACGCTCCAGCGTCTGGGGTGTGGGTGGTGTTCTTCCACGGCGGAATAGCACCGCCAGAGACCTTGTTTTCCGGCAAAGATCAAAAACCTATTCAGACAAAATCAAACGCAGATCATTTTCAAATGTTTAATTTAAAGGAAACAATGTCTAGAATCATATTGATATCTAAATCTTACAGATGATGCTTCAATCTCAGCCACGCCTTCACACCCTTTTCCTCCACCTTGTAGTAGATCACAGTATCGAACAGCCTCATTCACATCTTCGAAAACCTTTACAGAGATAGAAAAAAACACATAATCAAACTTTTACGGTCTTGGAAGTGACTTCATCGAGAATACTTACCAATACTCCATCTCGAACATCTTCAACAAGCATATCGAATTTAGTTTCGGGTCTAGATTGCTTTTTCTGGTTGCTGATTCTTTTAGAGAACAACAGTCCAAGCTCTTTCTCTACTTCACTGTGATACAATAATTGCTTAATATCATGCATGCGAGCGAGAGGAAAAACTAAAGTGTGTAAAATTAGCTTGAGGGAAATGATGATTATTTGGGAACCTGTGAGTTGTTCTTGTTTTCATGGTGCAGATCTGGTTTTCTCTGTGTGTTAGTACATAAACAGGCTTTGAGTCTCCTCTCCATGGGTTAGACTCCAACACTGAGATTGAGTGAGGCACAAGATCAATTTTAAAATTTTTAGATGAACAAGCTTAGTAATGATTTGCTTGCATATCTTGGAGATGATAGATTCTTCTCTAACTAAAATCATCTATCAATAGAGATTGAACCCTGATACAGTGACACTTGTTTCCTCCTAATGAAAACAAGGCACTAAGGAATCAAACAACTAAGTTTTTATAGATCAAAACGTCAGAGAAATAAGTTTAACAAATATGAATCAATCAGTCAATGAAAAAGTATTCTCTAGGAAAAAAAAGAAAACGAGTAGAGAGTATACCGTCATAGCTGGTGGAATCAAACGTCTGCTCTAGTTTCCGACGCATGTCGTAAGCACGTGACGAGACTTGCCTCACAAACTCATCCGAAGTCCCAGGGATCGTGCCGTCCAAGTTAAGCGCCTTCTCCACTTCCTCGCTTTCCTCTTCATCTCCAAGCTGTTTATCTGATCCTCCTCCTCCTCCACCAGCAGAAGATTTACAGATAAAGAAGTGTCTTCTTCTCCGAATCGAGATCGGCCTCCCTGCGCCGGAAAAGGAAGAACAACGGTTGGAAGGAAGAGGAATCAACACTGATCGTGAGGTTGAAACGGAGATCGTAGTTGTTGGAGGGAGTATTATGGAAGGAGAAATAGATGCTAGCGACTCCATTGAATTGAATCAACGAACTTTCTTTCTTCAATTTTCTCAAGAAAATCAGTGGGAGGAGACGTAAATGACTACTAAAGAGACGAACCAAACGTAAAAAATTCGTGGAAGCAAAATAAAACAACTCTGCTGCTTCCACTGATATTTTTCTTGGCGGGTCCCACAAATGTTCAAACCCTTCTGTGTCAGACAGAATGTCTATCCCTCTTACTAACACAAAACAAAAACATAATGGGTGAGCAATGAATAGAAATCTCTGAATAAGAAACACGTATATATATTACAAATAAAACATACGTGACATTATACAAAATTAGCATTCACTTTCACAGTTGTTCCAAACAAAGAAAGACTTTAGAAACTCACCTAATGATCGTCACGGTTACTAACCAGTTATGTCGCTCCATCTTCAGGAGAAGCTAAGCCATTGCTTTCATCATCACCAGCCTGTGTGGATTCTTGATCAGGGAATAGCTCGAGCCTCATAGAAGGAGCGACGTTGTTAACGTGAAGCCATGTTAATTCCCATAAGCTATCGCCACCAAGAGCACTTCTCTGCAAAAGCACTCCTTTCGTCTTCATCACAAGCAATATGTTCTTGAGCAACCCTGGCACGGTTTCTTGTAGCTTGTCGCTTTTCTTGCTCCTTACTTTCACTTTCATGTATTTCTCCATTCGGGTAAGAACGCCCAGCCATAGCTTGCAGAAGGTTGATAACTGAGATAATTCCTGGAGTTGCTGAAGAAACACATTGGAGAGGAGTTTGATTGCGAGGACCAACGTGCCTTCCATGTTCCGGTAGTCTTTCTGTGACCCAGAAGCAATCTCCAGCAAGTCATCTAAAACCGTGAAGATTACTTTGTCAAAGCACTGAGACCACATGCTATGAGCTAGATTGATCCCGTCTACTCCGCCCAAACACTTTTGTAATGACTGTAACGCGTGGTTTCGGACATCCTCTCTCTGGTCTAAACACACTTTTCTTAGTCCTTGAACAAGCCTTAGCCACATTTCCCCGAAATCTTGTGACGTCTTTGCAAAATCTTCTTCTCCCATGTTCTCCTTGGCTGTGCGAGCCCATTTAGCCAACTGTTCTAATGAATCTCCCATTAGATCGAGGGCGCGGATAGACCGTTCGGATTGCCCCACACGGGATTCAGCAAACTGTCTTGCAGCATCAACACAGAGAACATAATTGGCAGGATACAGGTGAGTTCCTTCAGACATTACAAAGGACACAGCATTAAATCCTGCTTCGGAAGCTTCAGGGTGCCTCGCCGTAACGGAGAGTAACGATGTTATTGTTCTCCATCCCGCCTGAGACCTAATGTGATTAGCATTGGCTTTCACAAGGCGGCTGACGTCAAGAGCTATATCCTGACAATAGGCATCGGCAACACGTGCATCCAGTTTCAGCACAAGCTGAAGAGATCTCAAAAGCTCATCAGCTAGGTTTTCTTTATAAGGAAGTAGTCTCTGACATATCCGAAGTAGACCAAATATAGCTTTCTGCACTAAGCTACAGGGCATCACCGTTGACTGAACAATGCTAGCTATGTGTTCATACACGCCTTGCCATAGAAGAACGATCCTGTCTCTGTTGTTAAGAGTGATTGCAATTAGCAATTCCAGGCAGAAAACTGCGGTATCCTCATCCTCTGGAGAAGTGTTCCCTTTCTGAGGCCTACCTGCGGCCCAAATGAGAGCACGCGCAAGCTGCAGCAAAGATTCAGCTTGTAGAAAATTGCTTTCGGTAAATATGCTGTCAATGTGACATTTCTGAATTGTTTGAAGTGTTCGTTGATGAGCCGCAAGCTGTTGCTCAGTAGGCTGCGATCTTGGCTCTTCCGTATCAAGTGAAAGAAGCTGACTAAACCTTCCCATCAGCCCGGAAGATCTCCTCGGAGTTCCCATTGCTTGTAGATGAGCTGAAGAAAGGGAATTTGCAAGAGGCTTCCCTTGTCCTTGCTCAGATGAAACTTCTGATTCATCAGCTGCATCAGTGGCTACACGAGCTGGCAGAAGTCCAAGTTTATGCAGACGTAAGATGCAGTCCAATATGTTCCTCCAACCCGTACGAATATAATCTCCATATTTGTTTGCAATGGTAAATATAGTGATAGTTGCCATCCTTGCTTTTGGGTCATCACCAAATGCTAGAACCGGTTCATCAACAGATGATGGATTCAACAGTGTTGTGAATTTGCAGAGAGACACAACCAGATCATCAAGCACATCTTTCAGATGATGACAAGCAGAAATTTTAGCAATAGCCAAGAATCCATCAATGCATGTCTGGTAGACGTCTTCATGTTCTGCATGGTCAAAAACGACTGATATGGCAGCAATAGTTGGGCCTGACATGATAGCAAACATATCGTGGTCAAGATAAGCCCTCGAATCAGCCAAAATATACGGAGCAGTTTTCTTGGATTTATGCATCAAATCAATCCAACGGCTGGGAGTCATTTCAGGAATGCCTGAACCTTGTTCTGGAGTAGTCCGGATCTCATTGTTGCAGATGGAGTGATAAAGTTCAGACAAAAATTCTCGAGGGAGATCATTTCCTCCATTGATATGCCTATTGTTGCGAATAAAATCCTCTTCAGTCATCTTTTTCTTTACTTGAACGTTGTGTTGATCAGTGTTGAGCATGATAATGGAGTATGATAACACAAGAGCAGCATCCTTGTTAGCAAGAATCTCAGGAGACTGCATATAGTATCTTTCAGAGAACGCTTCAAGAACCCTCTGTATTTTCTGAGATTCTCCAGGCAACCTGAAAGTTTCCAAGAAGAGTCGGAGTGCAGTGTCCAAATTCATGTACTGGAAGTCGAAAGTCCCAGCAAACTCATTGAGAACTTGAACACAAAACTCGTCGTGATTCCCAAGAAAATCCCCCACAAGGTTCTTATCAAGCCCAGCAGTATATCTGAAAAAGCAAGCTACACTCTGGGGATCAAGTTTGTCAGGCAAAAGATGTGTCCCTTGGAGAAACTCTAACCCCTTCTTTGGATCCCTGTTGAAATGATCTGCTCCAATCATTAACCTTCTCTTGATATATTTTCTCCTGCGGACAAATGAAACCCAGTGATTTGGATCACTGTAATTGTCACACTTAACCATCCAGAAAGGCGTGTACTCATCAAGATAGACAGGCCCTAAGTCTAAACCAGTCAATCCATTACTTATCCTCTCGGCCATTCCTTGAATAACAGCAATTAAGCCATCCAGCGCAAGAATGTGCATTGCAGACAAAGGACTGTTCACAGGAAATGTGCTCTTCGATATTAGATTAGATAGCTCCTCAAACACGTTGCTGCAAGTTATATCACAATCGAGATTGGCATACATCTCCACCATAAAACTCTTCTGCCTACAGAAGTTCACAAGGGCTTCCATAGCAACCTCTTGCTGCTGATACGAGGGCCCATATTTTCCTTGCGCAAGCCTCAGAATTACGCAGGAAAAGAATGCCTCAAGCTGCAGTTTGAGCTCAGTGCGTAGATGTTGATACAAATTGAGAACAATGCTGCAAACCATCGAAAGAATAAGGGGGCTCATCGACAAGCCGAACTGCATCAGATTACGAAATAACTCATCTTGAATTAGGCTTAACAGTCTCGGGTGATGGCGGATGGACGCTCCACCCAATTCAATGGCTGAGTTGATCATGTTCAACGCAAAGAGAGGCACATCTTCATCAAATGATATGGTATTTGCTCGGGCGCCCATCCCAACATGTTCCACCATATTTAACAAAGAGCATAAAAAGTGAAATATTTCCACCATACTTGGAACTCCGTATGGCTCTGTCATTATATGCAAATCGTATGGAGAAGCCGGCTTTCTGCTTCCAGGCCCTGCAGGTCCATCATCCATCAAACTTTGAGCACCAGACGCAAAAGTTGTCACAGAATTTTCAGTATCATACTCGGAATTAGCATTTCCATCCTCCACTGGTTTAGTCACAATGGCATAATCATTGTCTACTCCAGCGTTCTGCGACCAAGCAAAACACCATCACTAACGTATATAAATGAAACAAGAGAAGAAGGCATAAAACTCAGTGTCCGTTGGGGAAATTATTTTCCTAGTGAAGTCCTAAAGTAGGTTGCAGACGTATATTTAAATAGAAAATCAAGCTATCGTCATATCATTGTCATGTCATGTTCTGCGTTAATCTCTTAGCATCCTACAAGTGCGTGCATTTTAAATTGACCTGAAATCAACCAAAAAGGAAATAACAAGAACCCAATATCTTACCTCTTGACTGACGCTTTCAAATCTGTTGACAAGGCTAGTTTCCGTCCTGTCAACATCTGGGAGATGGGAGAAGATACACCTCACAAGTTCATGCATCGTGTGGCGAGCTACACGTTGCAATAACTCACCTTTCATTCCTGATTGGTGGACAACACGAAAACAAGTGTTGAGGACAGTGCATACATGCTGGTTGCTTAGCATAACTGACGCCCTGTTTTTCATACACGCCAGAAGAACCTGAAGTATCTTCATTAGCACAACCTCTTCTGATGCAGGATCAGTCACCTCAAAACGGCAGCTTGTCACAGAATCAACTATCAAGTGCATGGCGTCTTCAATGTTTGTAGTATTCTGATCAATCACATTCAGACTTAGGATCTTGTAAACTGATGACAAAGCAATGCTGGTTATGGGTGCTCCAGTTTCATCCGAGCGTATCACATCTAGAAAGGGCTGAAGATAGAGGATGGGAGTTATGGTATGCCAAGGCTGGTTCCATGAGAAGAGCTGTTTCCTAAGAGCTTTAAGTGACTGAATCAACGAATGCTCTAGCTGGTCATCACCAGACGTGTATCGACCTCCCCATCTTACATTTCTTCTCATAATGGCCAAAACAGCGGAGATTTCGGTGTCGATCATACATGCCAAAGTTGTTGTATTGCTTGACTCACTACTCTCCAAGTCCTCAGGCTCTTCCTCAATGGCCTTGATTCCAGAATGCAACTTAAGGCGACCCA